GTCGAGTAGGGTGGGAAGGAAAAAGAGATTAAGAGGTCAGTTCAGACCCAAGTTATAAGACGAATCCCAGGATACAAGTTTTTTGAACCCTTCAAACATGGATGGAGGACTTGCAGAACTCATGGAAAGAACATGACGGCAAAACATTTAATAGAGGAGCGCCTGTTTGGAGAACCAGGAAACTGGCAAGGGAAATTAGAGAGAATACAAACCTACGTGGGAGAGATAACCAAACCATTCTACACCAAAGTATAGAAATCGATGAGACAATCTGCTTAAAGTTTGCAAAAAGAATAAAATAACTAATTGAAACGGAATGTGAACCATATCAAAAAATAAAGAAAAACACCATGCAAATGAGAGATTAATTTTACATCATTATTATTATTAACACTTCATCTTTCATATTTCTATCAAACGCGCTTGCATTAATTTAATTATCTAGTCCAATAAATCTATTCTTTTAAAGGAATTAAATGTCAATATTTTTGGATTTTAGTTAAATCTTTTCATGAATGGCATAACCTTCTGTTAATGCCTTAAAAATAAATGGAGTTCCTTAGGGTAAAGAGATTCATTTAATGGTCTTACTAACACTTGTCTTTGTTCCAAAATAATTATATCCTCCAAATAATTTTCCTGTATCACACCACGTGAATTATGGCGAGGCTCCACTTACAAATCCAACCTAAATTTGAAAGAATATTAAAAGTACTATCGGCATCAGAAAAACTATTTCCTTTAAATGAAGATCGATATACACTTCTATAACTCCAGATACTTTTATTATATAATTCAAAGAAAGAATTATTGTAAAGACAGCCCGAATCATTAATATAATTAATTTGGAATTGAATATAAGATGGATTAAGTATGTAGATAAGTATCAAACAAATATATATTCTTAATTTAAACAAAAAATACAAAATACATAAGGTTAAAAAAATCTTTGAAATTTATTTCTTTAAATATTAAATGTTATATTTAAATAAAATACCTATTGCAACAAGAATTAATTTATATTTATTATGTGTTTACTAACAGTTAACCTTCTATCTTATTAACATTAATTATATTGTACAATTCTACAAAGAACTACTCAATTGATAATTTTATTTACAAAAAAAGAAAATAGAAATTGAATTTGGCTGCAAAATCACTTTGTTTTAATTTGTATCACAAATTTTTTACATATTATTATTTTTTTGAATTTGTTATTTAAATGCAATAATATAATTTTTAAAGATTAGAATTGATTCTTACTATAAAATGTGAAAGAAATCTTCCCTATCTTTTCTCAGGCCTAGTGTAGTCTTACAATTTTAAAGAGTTATAAAATGAATTAATTTTCCAATGAAGGTTATATTTTGATTTCATATCCAAATTACTTTCTGAAGATTGCCCATTAATCCCTATTAATATGTGATATCTTAGTAAATCCTAGTATTTTACTATTTTCTTTAGTATTATATATTTTAATACAAATTAATGAAAAAAAATCAAAAATTACAGAGACAATAGAGAGTCACAAACACAATGCTATAATTCACCTCAAGTCTCTTATATAGATTATTAAACAATATTTATCCTTAATTTAATCATGTAAATTTATAAATCTGAGATTAAAACAATATTTCAAATTTACAGTTTTAAAATTGATTGAACTAATATCCTGAAGCACTTTTAAGATTCACTTAATGAGATACTTCATAATTTTAATTCATGTAAATTTACATTTCTAACATTTATAATGTGATTGATCATTATCATATTTTTTTTATCTATTCGTATATATATAATGCACATTATTATCTTAGTTAGTCACAAATGTTAGAACACATTAAGCAGATTTCAGTTGAATTGCCTAGTTTTCATAAGAAAATTCTGTTGAAATATATAAAAAATAATAAATGAATCAGCTATTCATATTTATTAATAATTATTTTAACCTTAAACTCTTTGTTCCTTTTCTTCCTCATATCCCCCTATCATTATTCCCCTGCCTCCAAATGCTTATGATGCTTATTATTAAGAACCTAATTCAACCTATGGAGAAGCTGAATACAACTTGGGTTCTTGTAAACTTTGAGATGGCTACTTAAAACAATTAATCTTTCTTAATGTACCAAATATGAATGATAGTTTTTCAATAGAATTCTATTTAAATCTAATACAATATTACATCTGATAAACGTATGAGCATCCCATTAAAGAAAAACCATTCAAATATAGCGATCCATAATGCAAATATATAAATGAATTTTTCTGTGTATAAAAACATCACAAAAGGGATGGTGAGTAATAAATAATAGTTAGGTATCGAAAATAAGTTAAAATCTCTTTAACTATGAGGAGAGGCAAGAAATCTTTATAATTTGACAATTTTCTTACTAGCTGCATAAATAATAGAGTGCTAATCCGTCGATACCATAACTCAAAGTGTATTGATACTAAATATCATATTAACAGAGCCCAATGTTCACCAGAAAGTTTATAGATTCTAATAAAAAGCTCTTAAAAAAGAAATCAAAAATGAAATATGCGCTTCCCACTGTTGCTTCATAAGGATTTACAATTAGCTAAAAAAAGAACCAACTAGCTATAATTTCCAAAAAGCTCGCTAATGTAATAATCTATAATTACTTGAAAATAAAGGAGCTGTGAACAATCTCCAATATTATCCATTCTAAACTAATAGGGTTTAGTTATAAAGCATATTCAATATATGATTGGAAAAATATGAAATAAGTCTGAGTATAGCCATTTAGAAGAGGATCAATCTCTAACCAAATCCTAAATACTTCCACCATTGTTCCACAACAGGAGCAAAATTCGGTAATTGAGGCATTCTGAAATTATAATATTTAATGATATTAATATTATAAACAAAGCCAATATATGAAATTAATTTTATATTGCTCTCTCGATTTGAGATTAATCTTTCGATTAACTTATAAACTTAAGTAGTAAATAATTATTCTAAGAATCATAATTACTTTAATTTTATTATGAATTTTTAGGTAAAACTTAAGTTGAGCATCTTAATATTATTTGTGCCTGTGGGTTTTGTTGCTCTACTACAAATAATAACTTTAAATGTAATATTTATAACAAATTTCTCTAATTAAGCTGAACATTTATCATTTGCATTCTATAATGAAACAACTCAAACTACCCTCAAATTCCGCCATCAACTAGAAACCATAAATTTAGGTATCAAAGTCAACGCTGCATATATTCTATAAGGTTTAATAATGTCTAATTAGTAATTATCACTCAATCAAAACTTGGAACAAATTAAGGTGTTCCTAAATCCCTTAATTAGTAGGAGCTAAATAGAAAACTTTAAAATTGTATGTAAGGATTCATTTGAATATTCAATTTAACAAATAGAAAGCAAATTTGAAACTTGGAATTCAACAAATTAAGTTTTTGTTGATTTATTTCAGAATTACTTTCGATTCATTATAAGCTATGATACTAATAATGATTGTAATATATAAGTTTTCGAAACTATTTCTAATTTAGTCAATAAAGCATATAAATATGCTAAATACGAATTATTACAAAATCAATTCAACTATTTTATGATAAATAAATAATTTTATTAATTCACTTAAAATTCATTTTTACCAATTGAAAAGAATAAATTAGAGGGTTAATATGGATAATTTGTGGAGTAACTATTTATTTAATAAAATTTTGATGAGAATAATTGTTTGCTCTAAGACACCTTAGTTTAACATTATCTACAGAAGTATTTCATATATGGGTGGTTTTATTCCCTATAGAAATAACATGTAAAATGTGAGAAATCATAAATATCAGAAGTGTTATCAATAAAGATTTTTGATGTAGAAAAATTCAAATAATTTGCAGGTTCTTCCTAAAATCAAGAAAACCATAATGTATCATTAATTATAGCATAAAGTTTAATCAGCTTGACCTTTTTTTTGTATGTTTGGACAATATCTATAAGGGTTAGCAATTCCTTTTGTATTCCTCTATAAAAATTGGCAAGGCAATTGCAGAACCCATTGAAATATCATTTTGATTCAATGCCATCCAAGTCGCAATTGCAAAACTGTAAAGAAATCAATAAAGTTTATGACAGCTTATAAATTTATATCTACTATTATTAGCTTCTAAAAAAGCAGCATTTCTATTCTGATCAAGATTAAGGGTCACTCTATTTAATGACTTTGTCTTAGCTTAGTGAAGTCTATAAATATCATAAAAATAATTGGTAAGTAAGTGTTTGTGCAAATAATATTGCATAAGTCCATTTTAAAAACAAGAGATTCATTGAAGCACTTAAGTTTTAAGCAAAATCTGTAATTTTGGGATTCGAAGAATATTCTAGTATAAAGTAGATTGAAAAAATAAGGAAATAATTATTAAATAGTCAGAAAACTTTACTATATCAATTGAAGGAAAAATTAAGACGTTTTGTGATTAATAAATTCGCTGGGAGTACAAATATATTACATTCTGAACACATTAATAGAAATCGATTGTATTCTATTAATCTACAAAATCCATATAAGCAATGCAATATTTAATAAATCTAAATAACTGAGAGATTGCCATTAACTAATTATTTAAAAAGTGAAAATTCATTGGATAAGATGATTTCACTTCAAGAATTAGCTTTGTAACAGGATTTATACGATGATGAAAAAAGATTTTATAAATTAACCATATTATTTAGAAAATACACATTTTGCAGGATGCTGTATAAGTTTTGTATTAAAGAATCACCCAGTTTACTTAACGAAGCTGTTCGTTCACTAAGTGAATTATTTGAAGAGATTTCTAATAAGAGGTTCTCCGAAAACAAATCAATAGTAGGAATTAAAATTTAACTGCTTATAATGAAGTTTAGCTGTTTCCAAAAATTAAATTTGATGGAGAAGGCTATATTGGAGTTGTATCAAATCAAAATACTATATTAATAATATGCAATCACAGAAAAGTCAAAATTAGTATTAAATGGATTTGATATTGTTTTATTGACATCAAATGAATTTATATAAAATGCTATTAGAAAATTGAAAATTGTTGTATTAATGAAAAATTAAGAGTATTAAATTGCTGGTGAAAAATGTATAAAGATTATCAAAAAGAATAGTTAGAACATTTATAAATTGAATTCTTTCGCGTACAAGACTTTGCATAGTATTTTTATATAGTTGGGTCTTAATCAGAACGTATTATAAAAACTGTATTTAGACATAAATTCAAAATAGTTTAAGATCTTCTTTTTGATTGATTACTCATCAAAAGTATCTTTAGAATAAATCTAAGTATCACATTCGATATGTTCTTATATAATGTAAAAATTAATACATTTACGAGAAGTAGGTTTATATTTATTTAATAATTCTGTATATGAAATGCTGGCAGCATCGGAATCAAAATAGTATAGGAAATTCCTTTTGAAGCAGTTTGAGAGATTTTAAATTCTTAAAGGTGGTGAATGTAAAGTCATATAATGTCTTAATGAGCTATTAAATTATAAATTGAATACATAATCCTTATAGAATGAAACTAGATCAACATATTAATCCATAGCGATTCCCAAACAATTCTAAAAATAGAAATAATAATATAATGAAATAATACAAACTTTTGTTTGTGTATTTTCTGAGTTTTCAACAAAAATAGATCAAGATTTATTATAGAAGATTCAGATACAAGCTGAAAGAGAAGAGATCAATTTGGTTCTGTTTAATATAGCAAATTCAAGTAGAAATCATGAGTAAGCCAAAAATTTTGCTAAGAAAGTCAATGCCAATTATATAGAAAGTGATCGAGAAACAATTGAATGGATCTCTTAGTTGAATTAATCCTCGGTTCCAATTTATGGATAGGGGTATCTTGAGTTTTAATGAGGATGATGATAAATCTCTGCATAACTAAAAATTTGTTAGTTATTATTAGGGTTTAATTATTTCTAAATGAATATAAAATTATAAATATATGAATTATATTAAGTAGGATATGATTATAAATCATTCAAAATTGTTTTCTCTGGTGCTACATATTCATTTATTAAATCATTTCATTTTTAAACTAATCCTTTAACACTTCAAATTTGGGTATCATTTATTTTTGCGAAGGGAGAGCTTAAAACGTTACGAAATTAGTGAAAACTTGTTGATTTGGTTTGCTTTATTAAGAATCAGAATCAGAGTCACTCAAACTTTCATTCATATAACTAGATAATGGATCTTTCTTAACAGAAAATTATTTAGTGCTGTTTTATTATTAAGTTCCTCCAGAAGTTTCAGTATTTCTTTTTAGTAAGTCTTTTTTCTCTGAGCCTTTAGAAAACTTAACTTCGTTTTGAATTTCAATTTATTATTGTGCTTATTATTTACAAATACTTCCCATTTTATTTTTAATAATAAAAATAAAAGAATGCCTTCTATCTTATTTATTGAGTAAATTCCATTCCTTATTGTTGGAGTCTGTTGAAACTGCTTTTGATTTATTTTAATTGTTCAAAATAGGCAATTTCGAAAATCACTATAGATAAGTTTGAATTTGTGGAATAATACAGAGCATGAGAATCACACTCGATTTATTAGTACACAGCGTTAGACGTGGAATTTATGAAAAATTACATGGCATTGCTTTTCAATCTTATTGACTAACTTAGGGTTACTAACAAATTAAATCTTAAATTATAAATTCAGCATAATAGCTACTATCTGTGTATATTATAAAATGAGTGATTATCCAGACACAATTCAATTAATCCACTGAATTCTTTTTGTTGTCAATTTTAGCTAAAACAATATTTTAGTAAACATTAATATAACAAAAATTTAGAATCAAAATCGAAAGAAGGTGAAGTTAATATTATTCTCTTTTTTTATAAGAATAATCATATTCATGATGAATCTTACCATTTATTGATTTTACATTCATGAAAATGTTATAAATATGATATATTTTTTTGGGTGTTGCAAATTTCTAAAACTAAAATCGCTAAAACATACTTAACACTTGTCCATTACATTTATTTCACTTTTTTTAAGGGATAGAAAGCCAATAAGAATCATAATTCATTGATTCTTAGGTTTATTAAATTATTCAAATTTGTCATTCTGAAATTTCCCCTATAAATATATACTTTGTCCTGAGATACAATAAGAAAGTTTAGAGGTAATGTAAGAAGATATATATTTTCAATTAGATTCTCAGTTACAGGTAGATATAGTGGTGAGGAATCATAAAGAATACAAACTATTTAAAAGAAAATTAATGAGCAGGAAAAAAGGAGCAAAATTTTTATATTCTGGGGTAAATTAAGATAGCATACATAGAAACGACTGAAAGAAAATTTAACTTTAATTAATTTTAATAAAAAAATACATGTAGAATATATTGTATTACCTTCTAAAATTCATTAAACATTTGCATGCAATCACTGATTTCTACTAAGAGGTATCTGCGTTGCCTTTCGTAATATAGTAGGAAGGATTATTAATAACCTTAAAAAATCAATATATGGTTGCTAATATGGTTTATTAGAATATTCAATTCCAGGGTAAACTGGATAGTAAAGTTGCACTAAATTTATTGAGAATAATTATTTTAATCTATATTTTATACTAATACAAAATTATAATTTTATCATTTGGTAAGGTAGTAATCAGATTTTGCTTTTTTAGGTTCTTAGTTCTAAAGATTTTGTAATTCTTAAGCTATTTGAACTGATTAATTAATCCAATCATTGAGCCAAGGGAATCTCTTGTAGTTCAAGACTTGCTAAGAGGGAATAATCGTAATCATTACATTTATTTACTCAGATTATATCAAATCAACTATAAATAGTACATATTTTTTAATTTTCTATTAATTTTCATTCAAAGCCAATTATAGATATTGATCTAATTAAATCGGATGTAATATTGATACTTAAAAAATTAGAGTAATTTTATTAATAGGAAGTATTTTAGAATAATTGCTTGACGAATGCAATATTCATCTTCCTGATTTCTTTTTTCTCTTTTATTTATTCCTTGCTCTGACTTTATCTTTGGTGTTTCATACTTTTACGAATAATAAATTTTATCATTTCTTCCCTGGTCTTCACAGCCTAGGCATAAATGATGCTATATTTATACTTGTAAGTATCTAGTGAAAATCTAGAAGAAAATAGATTTAAGTGCCTTTTTTTAAGCATAACAACGAAAGGTTTTTTAATAAGCAAAGATCTATTCTTTGGATAGATAGTTGAGATGTTTCATGAGGAAATCGATCATTTTATAGACTTCCTCCTGGAGTTATTCTTTAGTCAAACAGATTATTTAGTGTTATTGATTAAGGTTGAGTAATTTGCGCAGATGGTGATTCTCTTCCGTTAAGAGTTAGAGGGTGGTATGGTAGGGCTCTATTTAGTTAGGAATAGAGAGATAGTTTAATGGTATCATGTAATGTTAAATATACAATTAATGTTCTTCCTAATCCAATATTGATGCAAATTACTTATTTAATTATATTGTTGTCTTCTTCTTTCATTTTTCGTTATAAGTTTGAGGATTCTAAAAAAAAGTGAGAGATTATATTAATTTAAAGATATTATTATATTATTACCTCATCGAATATATAAACTATTATAAATATTTTATTTAATAGTTCAATGCTAAAATGTTAAACTCTGTATAAGGCAATGCTGAAATATCTAAAGACATTTTAAAACTAATAATATTAGTCATGGAAATGGCACAACTATACTTAATGGGCAGATCTTTCATTCAGACCATTAATGATTATGTAAGTAATTTTTATCATCATAAAATTATCAATTGTTGCCGATAACTTAATGTTATGGATAATTTTTGGAGTAGAAATTCTGGTTCATTTAATCCTATTTTTATGTCTTCCGAAAATCATTCACAAAGAGTCATAGTTTTTGTAGTTTGTTCCTTTGATATTGCAGGAATCCTTAAGTGTGCTTTGTTACTTTGTTATAAATGAAAGCTACCTCATATTTTACACTGCGACATGCGTCATCTTTTAAAGTATGTATTCGACAATACTATGGAAAGTAATTGCTATAATAATCTTTTTAATTTAAACTATCTTGTTAGCGGATCTATCATCCTAAGAAGGACTATATCTTACTATTACTCTTTTATTCATGCAAATTGCTAGAAAAGAGCTCTAATAAATGCAGCATTTCATAAATTTATAAGCACTGTTTTTAATAATCGATTCTACACCTTAAGCTATGTGTATTGCACATAAGGATAAAAATTGGCTGCTCTATTCCAATAAATTATTCGAAAATCTAGCTAATAAGTTAGAAAGTACAAATCAATCAGAAACTGATCATTCCCCAGAAAAGGGAGCAGCAGCAACTAACAATTTTACTAAAAACTAATTAACTTTCTTGTAAAATTTGTAATTGGATGAATTAAATAACAATCAAAATGTTGTCCAATTCGATTTCGATGATGATGATTTGTACCTCGATGATCAGTATAAAATTAAGAATGTTACTTATAGCAAAGATAAAAACTCAATATAATATTCGAAAGCCTTCACCCTTGAGATTCCAACAGTTCGGCCTAAAAACCATGTTCAATTTTAAAAGTTCTTCCAAGCATTTAAAAATCCAGAAGATGAATCGATAATCCAAAAAACATTCACATCTGATGTAACAATGAGAATTGAAGTTAACAATCCACCTCAATTTCATTTACAATCAGCGGGTAAGAAGAGTCAACACAAAAAATCTAATCTCCAAAATAAAACATAAAAACAACAAAACTATATGGCTTCTAGTAGAAAAGTATCTGCTGATTGTTTATTAAATAGTAAAGAATATAGGAATTCAGGTCACAAATAATCTCTACTAGACCAAGAAGTGAATTTCTTTAATAAAACAAAACCAGTCTATGTTCATAAAATGAAATTCTTAATTAATGTATTAGAAAACTGCAATATATTCGATAACGATGATGAATTGTAAATATATTTCATTCATGAGGTCAATCAAATTTTATTAAGAACCAAACTCAAGAAATTAGAATCAATAAAAAAGAATCTTTTGAGATCCATATCCCATGAACTGCTCACCAACCTCAACGCTGTTTATGGGTTTATAAAACAAAGTTAGGATAAATTGCTCAAATAGGAATCTTGCCACATCCAACTGGAACAAGCCTTGAGTTACACAAAATTACAACGATACAAGATCTATGATTTCTTTGATTACAGAGACATTTTAGAGGATAGTTTTTAATTGAAATCTGATAAATTTGATATCAATACTGTCATTTTGGAGTGTGTGGATTTATTTAGAAATCAGATTGAAAGAAAATCCTTGATAATTAATGTGGAATTGCCTAAGACTTCATATATCATCAGTGGAGACAGACAAAGATTATGTTAGGTGCTCTTAAATTTGATTGGTAATTCAATTCGATTCACCTTCAAAGGCGGAATCAATATCATAGTTCAAAAGTAAGAGTATATCGAGTCAATGGAAGGAATAGATTTACACTCTGCTAATTACCAAGATAGTAATTTGCTTGAAGTTTAAATCAATGATACAGGCATTGGAATGACAGAGGATGAGTTAAGCATCTTAAGAAAAAAGGTATTCCTTTTAATTTAGAGTAGTTACATCTAACTGATGAGGATGAAAAGGTATCTAAACATTCTGTTGGTATTGGCTTGGGATTGTCTGTCAGTAAACAAATTATAAAATTGATGTCTCCGATAGGTCAAAATTACCTTTCTGTTGAATCAACTAAAGATGAAGGTACTTAATTCAATTTCCTGTTGAAATATCATGATGAATCAATTTATGCTTCAAATTTCTTACAAAGATCAAACAATCACACAATTCCAAATGTGGATGCTCAAAGTACCTAATAAGTACGTGTGATGAACTACAATAAATGTAATAATCTTCAGATCACAGAGAAATAGGGGTAGTCAGAGATGCAGCTTGATCTCGTGCTTAATGAATGCAATTGCAAAATAATTCTTATTGTTGATGATGAGGATTTTAATATTTAGGTTCTTTCGCATATGGTTAAATAATTAGGATTCGATATCGATTCTGCTTATAATGGCAAACAAGCCATTGAGAAGGTTCAAAACCAATTACTCAAGAGATGCAATCAGAAATTTTGTATTGGATATAATTGCATCTTAATGGATATCAATATGCCGATGATGAACGGATGGGAAACCGTCTAGATGATACGACAAATAGAAAATGAGATTCATCTCACCAGAACCATTCCTGTAATTGCAGTTACTGCATTCTGTAGCATCAAAGATCAATAGAAGAGCATAAATGAAGGATTTAATAGTGTTCTGATTAAGCCTGCTACAAAGGAATTGTTGATCGACGCTTTTAATCGACTCAATATCTGATATCTATTTTTATATTTTTTACTATTTAAATTTTCTAAATTATAGAAGTTAATTTAATATTCACAACATTTATATTATTAAAATTAACAATGTCATCACTGGTGAAAAAGGCAAAGGATACCTATGATTTGTTGATCAAAATTTTACTCATTGGAAATTCTGGAGTTGGAAAAACACAAATTTTGTTGAGATATACAGAAAATCAATTTAAATCTTCATTTCTGAGTACGATTGGTATTTTTTATTCTTTACTATCCATAAGGAATCGATTTCAAAATCAAAAAAATACAAGTAGATGAGAAAGTCGTCAAGATGTAAATTTGGGACACTGCAGGATAAGAACGCTATTAAACTATCACTTAAACATATTACAAGGGAGCTATGGGTATTATACTTGTTTTTGCAGTGAATGACAAAGAAACCTTTAATGATATTGACAAATGGATGAACCAAATTAAATAACATGCAAGTGACAATATCATTAAAGTATTAATAGGTGAATTTATAATAATATTATTATTCTTAGGAAACAAAACAGATCTTCCAGATAGATGCATCTCTTATGAATAAGCCCTTTAGATGGCTTAAAAATACAACATACCTTACTTTGAAACTAGTGCAAAGGAAGGAACTAACATTAATGATACCTTTTAATAAATTGCAAAAACAATTAAAGAATAACTTGAAAAACTTCCTTAACAATAAAATGGTTCTTTCAACAAGCTAAGCTCAACTCCAAATCAGGATTAATAAAAACAGGATGACTCAATGTGTTGTTGATCCAACTTTATTTGATTTGCAATTCACTAATTTTCAATAATTTAATTCATATTTGTTTCATTAGTAATGTTTATTGATTATATTATTCTTCCAATTTAACTGCTACTATCCCATATTTTATTGTTGTTTGCATTATGAATTTTACTAATATGGATTTCATATTTCATGGCATCCATAAAATAAGCAATTCTTTAGAAAAATTATAATTGATTTCCATCATTTTCAATAACGTAAATTGTTGTAAGAAACTTAAATTAATATGCGTTGTGGAATCCTTTATATAAATCATTTTAATTTCGAAAGTTCAACAAACAATCTATTAATAAGGAGAGCAATTCATAATCTATAAATTCAATCTCTATGATATGTCTAACTATGTGCTATCCTTTGGTGAAAGCTATGATGTTCTTCTAATAGTTAAATTTTGAAATATATAGTTTTATCTATTTAATCAAAGCATTTGAATATCCTAATTTCTCCAAATTGCCAAATATTAGATAAGATGTAAAAAGTTATTAAAAATATCTTAAGATTAGATTGAATTTGATGAATTAAATAGTTTCTAATTAAATATATTAAATATAATTTATATTGAATAGGTTTTAGATGTTGCAGATAATGTTATTGCAATTTTATTCTATTGTTTCCTGCTGAAGACTATCTTTTCCTTATTAATATTTCAATATAAAGAGGTTAGTTTTATTCATAATTATTAGGTTTCATTAAGTAAATAACATTTTGTTTTTGCAAAGATTTTAAGTATATAAACAAAATATTCATAGGATTGTGCTTTTTTTTTATTGAGTTAATTAAGTTTGAAATTGCTATTCACATGTTAGACAGTTTCCATGTTTCGGATATTTATCTAGAATTGAATTTAGACATCTATTGTGGAAAAAATGATTGTATTTACAAGTTTTCGATTTGAAAACAGTATCATTGTTATCTTTTAGACCCTGTTAACATAAACCGCAAACTTGACAAGCCTGTACTTCTTGTACTTATTCATAGTCATTTCCAAATTTCTTTTTTTTTCTTATGAAATACCTTATTGAGAGCACAATTATCAAAATAAAAAATATCCCTCCTATAATAACTAAAGGCAAGAGCCATTCTAATAATTCTGGATCATTTCTTCTATTCTTACTTTTTTACAATGATATCGATAGTTATGTATTAGGATAGTCACACCAAACAGCCACAATGAGCCTAGAAGGAGACTCATCGAGCAATGAAGAGATTCCATGATATCCCTCTTCTTCTGTGTATTCTTATTAATATTATTTTTTTTCATAGTCTAATAAGCCTTTTGATGTAATTGTTTAAGCGAGAGGCATTGAATTATTGAATTGTTCATAGAAGTCATAAAACCTCAAAGTGGGTAAATGGATAAATGAAGAGACAATTTCTAAGATACTTAGATTTTTTTGACTATCAGTCTAAAATTATTCTGAAAATTACGTAAAATGTTAAATCGAGTTCCTTTGACATGTTCTGCTATTGATAATAAAAAAAAGTTTCATAATTTGATAATGTTTGATTTCTCCAAGTCTAGATCTTTAACTCTGTTGCAGCTAATGAACAATCTTTCCCAATGAAATTAGAACTACAATGACATTCCCCTTTTATACATTTTCCATTGTTACTGCAATTATTTAAACATATTTAAACATTAGTACCTGTTAATGTTAAATCGAAGAAGATTGAAATATTACTGAGAATAGTAATAAATTTAGGATTAGGTGAGTTTTGAATCTACAACTAATGATTATATTTTTTTAAGGCGTAACTAAATGACTTCAGAATTAATACCTGTCATAATCCATATCTTTAAATTTAATAGTTTAATTGATCTAGAAGGTTGGGGAGTGTTCATTGAATAATAGAGCAATTTTTGAATTTTCATTTGAAGTTTACTGAAACTCTACAATCAGAAATTAAAATTCTTGTCCTTCTATTAAAAGGGTGGTATTATATTTGAATGTCGAATTAAATTATGAAATGGTTTGATTATATTAGGTAATCTATGGGGTTGATTAAGAAACTGATAATTTGGCTGCTCTTGTTTAAAGAAAAAGGAGATTGAATACGACAATCAATGATTGTAAGTTCATGGCAATTATGAAATATTAATTATTAACATAAGAAGTTCTCATTCAATATAATTGTTGTCAATGATGTTGTAATTACATGGAAACAAATCAAATATATAGAATAATTATATATGCCAAAAGGAAAGACTTTTAATATAATATATAATTATTTATGACAACTCCCTCTTTACTTCCCTACTTTTATTATACAAACCCTAGGGATGTTAGATGCTTAAGTAAATTGAAGATTAGGAACAATCCATGTCTACCATTATATCAAGTACTGAGGATGGATTAAGTTTTGTGGTAAAAGTCAAAAACTATTATAACTGCAAGTGATCCCTAATTGTTTCAAATATAAAAACTGTTCATGCTTTTAAGGTAAGTTTCACAAATTAAATGAAATTTATATAATTCAAGAAGAGCAGACACTTTGATGGATAGGAATTCAAAACAAATTTTGTAGGCAGGAAGTAAAGTATGTAAAATTTAGTAATGAAAAATCCTAAATAAATATTGAAAATACTCAAAAGGAAAGAATAATAATGATGGCAATTAAAAAACTTTGAATCAGAATGAAAAGTGTTCCTACCGTCTTAGAAAAGCTTACGAAATTGGATTGGAAATAATAAATATTAAGAGTATGCTTCGAATTTAAAGAATATTAATAGAAGGTTCGATAGTGATATGCAAATTTTGAAATAAAAAACCACTTTTTTACAAAAGGAAATGTGGAATTCGAAAAAAGTAAATTGGTTATAAAATTTTGTTTTTGCACATTCAATTTGATTACATCAATCATAAGTTGCAGTAATTTGACATCATATCAGAGTCAATGTTTTAGCATAAGAAATTCAAGAGGACTCTTATTAATTATAATAGATATCTCTCAATATTTAACGACCAAATTCTTGTAAAATGAGCTGCACTTTGTGGAAATCAACTTAAATTAGTTCCAATTCGAATTACCTAAGCAAGAAGTCGATCATCAAGAGTAGATTAAGGTGTTATTTGAGGATTTAAAAAATCTAAGTAAGCCTATTCATTATGAATGACTGTATTTTATAATTAACCAAACAAAATTCTAATTAGCAATGTGTCTATGAATAAATAGCCTAGTTTAATCCATTTTTCATTCAACTCCCACTCAAGTATTTTCAGAATAACTTTCTGTGAAACAACTTTGGAGAAAATTCTAGAAATCTAAATGTGAGAACTGGACGTAGCTATATATCATTATTCTTATTACTCTTCTAGTCGTATGTCATGAAATGAATTAAAGTGTATATAAGAAAAGCAATATTATAATTTATTATTTTCATTAAGATTATATTAAAGAAGTATAAATTATTTAAAAAGTGAAAATGAAATAAATAGAGATGAATGGTACGTACTTGCTTTCTCAAAATTAATAACATTTAGGGAATATTTTCCAAAGAGATCATTCAATTGCCATTTTTTTTTGTTTTTAATTAACTATAAACGCACTCATGATCGTCTAATATGACTCACAACTCATATTTACTATTACGGTTTGCATTCTAAATACCATTTTTGCTGTTACCACTTAAATGATTGCACTTACTAATAAAACTCTGCTATTTAAGAAAATATGTATATTTATCAGTAGGCTATCTACATTATTAATGATAGCATTACTCGACATTTAATTAAAGAGCGCCTTAATTATGCTCTTGCATTCTTTTGAAGTCCAAGAGGTTGATAAAAAGTACTTTCGATACTTCGAGATAATTGCAACTAGAGCAATCACCTTATTTATCATCATAATCAATTTCGATTTAATATCAATTATTTCGGTATCCTTCTAATTTCTATTGGAACTTAATAGATTGTCTCAGGTCAAACATACACAACAGTTTGATCCAAATTAATAAACTCCATTAGCTTAAAGTTTAATTTCCTAGTAAGAATAAGATAATTTGTGGAAAAACAGAATTTAAATGATTCCTGTATCATTTGTGATGATCAATTCAAAAACACAAAAAATCAATTTCAAAAATAAAACTGCGCAATAATTCTTTTCGATGTTTTGTGAGAGTGACCAGGAATTTGAGGATCTCCTCCTTCATAAGTTACAATTTAATTTAGTCCAAGACAATATAGATTAAATCTGCCAATCCTTTTCGTATTTAAAAATTCGCCAAAGACTCAGAAGCAAATAAAATCGTTTTTTTTAACAGGATCAAAACTGTCTTACACCAGCTCCACTCTCAGGATCCTCAGGACAATGTATATCCTCAAGATAAGCTGACTCCGTGGAACATAACACACTCAAATTTACACTCGCTGAGATTATAGCAAATCTCTCTGAAGGTCTCTTTTCAGAATACATAGTAAACAATTCATTAGAGTTGCTATGCCATCAAAATTATTAAGGACTTGTAGAAAATGCTAACACAAATCATACTCAATAGAAGAAATTCCAATTGTCTGGATCTATATTGACTAATCAATAAAACGAAGAAATCATACTTCTTCTTAATGATATTTCAAAGCAAAATGAACTTCAATAGTTAATCTCAGAAGACGAATTCAAATCAAAAGTAATCATATTTATTATCTATCATTAGATTTTAGAATCATTCTCGCATGAATTGAGAACTCCTTTAAACGGAGCGATCAATTTTCTATCTGCTTTTCTGTAAGATACTGAATTTTCAGAGCGAATTAAAAACAAGTACATTGTTCCAGCAATAAACTCTCTCAGAATCCAATCATACTTAATAAGTGACATTGTTGATTTCACATCCTCAAGTACAAACAATTTAGAACTTTTGATTAAGGAATTTTCAATGAGAGAATTAATAAATGAAGTTAATTCACTCTTTACAATGTAATTTGCTGAGAAGAATCTTGAATTTAGAGTAGACCTAATGGATTGTTGTACAGCTACTGTAATATCTGACTATAGTAAACTAATGCAAATATTGGTGAATTTACTACAAAACTCCATCAAATTCTCAACTGAAGGATTGATTGTCTTGAAAATCTAATCTCATACGAAAGACATCCTGAAGTTTACTGTGACTGATATGGGATAGGGGGTTTCATCTCTGAACATAACCTAGATATAATCATATTTAAACAATCTGAAGAATCACAAGGAGATCCAATTAAATAAATCTTGGCAGGGATTTGGATTATTGATTTCAGCAATGCTAGTATCTAAATTGGGACCCTCTGATAGAAGTACAATTAAGTTTGAATCCGATGGAATTAACATGGGTTCAAAGGTATCTTTTTTTATTAGGAATTTATTACCGAAGTTTAACAGTGTTAAATAGCCTACAATTAGGTAAAACACATAAAGATTTCAAAGTTCTGTTCATTTAACTACCTCACTTAATAATTTAAATGGTACAATTATTTAGACAACGGATTAAGGTTTGAAGAGTCTTCCAAAAAAATAAAAA